AGTTGAATCAAATTGGTGCAGGCTGTTTATTATGTCCCAAAGTTTTTTTTTTTTTTTTTTTTCTTAACACAACAGGCAAGTGGTGACAACAACACTGGGAGAGAAGGTGAATCCTCACTGAAGTTGAATCTACTAGTTCCTCAAAAGTTAGTGAGTGATTCAAAATCCACTAAAGACAACCAGATCGGCAACCCTGCAGATGTGGGGGGAAGGGGGGGAAAAACGCTTACAGGCAGACCCCCCATGTTTTTTGTCAACCTGACACATCTGCCATGCGCGCGCCAGTGCAAAGTGGCAACTGGCCGCCGCCCTCCTCGCACCAATCAGAAGCCAGTCCAACCACAGCTGCAGCACATCTGCAAGAACCACACACGCCTCAGCGGGGAACTGTCACCCCCGCAGTTGGGGAATCCTCAGAGTGAAGCTGTGATGTCACAATTAGACACAAGAACGAGGATTGGAGTGTAGAGGAGATCGTTGGATTCCATCCTCACCTGTTCTGGCCCGCCGTCTTCGGTCACTGCAGTATATGGTGGACGCGTCCAACGTGGGTGATTGCAACGATGTGTACTTGGAGGAAAATGAGACATTTGAAGTTCCGGACTCTCTCCTGCCGCACTCGCAATCTTTGCAGGAGACCCGAGTCGGCATCTGGACCCGGTGTTTGGGACAGCGGGCGTCGGAGCCAATCAAAGTGCTGTTAGCCACCACGCTGCTCTGCTCCTCCATAATGGTGCTCTCTAGAAAACATCAAACCATGTACAGCAGCTGGCATACAGTATTACACATTCAAACAGCAATACAAAAACTCATTAAATAATTAGGTAGAGTGAATCCGGAAACAGCCAAAGTCAAATTTGAGGGTTTCACCAACCTCTGGGATCAAGGTCTTTGTCCAAAACTAGAGTACCACCAAAGCGAGATCATCGCATCATCAGTCAGGAGTCATAGCAGGGACATGAGAACGACGCTCTCAGGCTTATTCCTTGGTGATTCTTACCCCAGAAGTTGTCAATCACTGTGCTCTCCTGGATGGAGGCCTCGTGGAGGGAGGATTCATTCAACAAGGATGAGAGCAGAGAGGCATCGGAAGCGTCGCTGTGGAGCGACTGGTTTGAGGATTTACGAGGTGTGTGGGCGAGGAGCGACTCTGAGCAGGATGCGGAGTGTTGCAGAGAACGGTGAGATTTCAACATCCTGAGGGAAGAATACAAGTGAGGACCAAACAAACTCACGAGTAAAGAGTACAGTGATGTGTACTGATATGCCAAGAGCGGGTAGAAAGACAAAACAGGTGAAAAGGAGAAGATAAAAGGCAAGGCGCATAAACGGCAAGTGATGTCTACCTCGTGTTTCTCCAGCCGTTTCCCTCTACGTGGAGGGAGGTGCTGCCGAGCGGCTGGCCGTGGTCCAGCAGGCCGTTGCCCAGACGTAGACTGCGCCTGGACATGGTGGCGGGCTCGCCGTCCGAGTCGGACGCTGCGGACCAGTAACTGGAGCTGAGGAAGCAGAGAAAACTTTTCAAGTACAGTTGTCAAAATAAAAAAACTGATTGTGTTGCTGTTGCTGCTCGAAGACCATGTCAAAGATTATGCCATTTATGATTTTTTTTTTCCTCTCACAATTGCTTTAGGCATCACTTTAGCAACATCAATAACACACGGCTTGACAGTTCTTCTTCAGTGGAGGAGGAGTGATTCATACTGTGGTCCAAGTGTGTCTCTGGGCGTTTTTTTTTTTTTTTTTGCAAATGTCTTCAGCAATTATATTCAAACATGTATAAGGTATTGAAAAAAACACATTTCTTGATTCTCTTCACATGAGTCTTCTGCCTAGTCATTTGGTCTGTTTTTACTAGCTTGTATGCTTAGTCTTTTTTTATATGAAGCACAAAACTGAGTTAGATGTACCTGATTTACAAAAAATTAGCGACTGTTCTGTTGAACAAGAAAATAGAAGATAACCTCTCCATTACAATACCGTTTAGTAGATCACTTGTCGCACCTTTATCATTAGCTACCCTAAGTAACGTAAGGCCCAGGCACACTGACCTACATAGCGAGTCCACCAACAACACAATAAACATGAGCATACACACACACAGGTCTATCCAGCCCCAGCTCTGTAGATCTTCGTCCTTGTCAGCAACGATCATTGCTTGTCAGGCAGACGTCAAGCGCACGCATCTTTCTCACAACGGACAACAAAAGCAACTTCCCGTCGGAGCCGCAGGTCAGTGCGCTGCTAAAGCCGCGCCCCTTCGTCCCACGCAGATAACCTGAACTCTGACCAAGCTCTACGAGAGGACTTACCGCCAGCTATTGGCAAGCTGCCGTTTGACTGTGTCCACCTGCAGCAGATAAGCTCCGGTGTGGTGCTAAACGTCACTCAGTCTTTCTGTCAGCCTCCTTGGATTAGACAGCAGTCCGCAAACTTGCAGCCAATTATTGAGAGCTGAGTAGAAGAAGGAGAAACAAACTGAATGTAACTTTTGCGAGTAGTTTATACGCCATAGAATTTTCCGATAAAACCGACTTTAAATTTTGTTTAAAAAGGAAAAAAAACAAGACACTTTCACACGTGCTTTGAGGTATTTAAATTGCAATGTCAACTTTCAGCCAATCACATCGGAGTTTGTGTGTGACGTCACAAAAACACCAATCACATTACGTGGTGCGCCTAGCCCCGCCAAATATGAGCAGTGGAGTTGTGTTAGCCGGTAGCATTAGTCGTTAGCTCTGTAAAATGACTACTGGACACAAAAGAAGACAGGAGAAAACAAACACCCGACCAACTGGACGATCCAATGTCGGGATTCAGGCGAAAACTTCGGATCGCTAACGCAATAAAAACTGGCTGTCAGAATATCTATTAAGCTATTTAAATTCTTGAAAACTGGAAACACTGTCAATTACCAAATTTCACCGAAAGAAATGTGGCGAAAGCTTACTACCTCTTCTTCTTTGTGATTTTTATAAGCGCCAAAGTCAAACTAGCGCCTCCGTGTGGATGACATGATAAGTGCCTAAAATAAGCGTACTGTACAACGAGACGTAATGGTGCAGAAAAGAACAGAACACAAAATAAAAAAAAATGTGACTTTCATCAGATAGATAGTTTACTTTCTGTAACATAATTTTGATTCATTTTCTCATCATATAAAGAAAAGACAACATTTGAAGATAACGCTTCCCCAAGACGAAGGCGGATGTGAGCGATACGATTTGTCATTACTTACCCGGATGTCACCCGGAAGTGAAACTATCCGGCACGCGGTCATAACATTTTCCAGCTTTTGCACGTGTCAAAAGGAAAACAAAAAAACAGGTTTGTCTATAAATTTTTATGAAAGAAACTGAAATGTGGACATTATAAAACTCTTTTAGGACTTGTTCGTGGTAGTTTGATGCGTGTTTTATTCGCTAAACTAATCTGTGATAAATGTTCGCCAAGCCCACTTCTAAATATTTTCGTGACCACGAATCTTTAGAACGCAGCCTTACTCGTATTTTGCGTCCATTTGCTGATTGCATTTGCTGTTTGGACACAGCATAACAAGAAGCATATTTTGGATTCAATGCCTAAAATATGGGTCACACTGCACCCTCTCATTTTATATTGATTCTACTGATGTTTCAGGTTTAGAATCCACCATGACGTCTTTAGCCTACCAGCTGAAACGGCTGGCGCTTCCTCAGAATGACCCCAATTTACTGTCACGGAAAGAGGTTGCGTCGTTTCTTTTTGACCCCAATGAGGCGGCGACCCTCGACAGAAGCACCTTCTATGCTCTGGGTGAGTCTCTTTCCTCCACCTCCTTAGCTTCTCCATCCTTTTTCATCCTCTGTAACCTTTCAAACTTTGCCTTTATGCAGGCTGTACGGGCCTAGAAGAGCTCCTGGGGATCGAACCGGCCTTTGAGGAGTTCCAGGACTCTCTCTTCAGCCGGGCATCGCTCACGCTGGAGCGCAGCGTCCAGTCGAAAAATGTCAACAAGAAGCTAGACGCCGACATCTCTCTGTTCCTCACCCGCGTCTCCCCATACTTCCTCCTCAAGCCGGCACAGAAGTGCATCGAGTGGCTGGTACACCGGTGCGTCGTTACTTCATCGTTCAAATTCAACCCCTACCATCCCGTGACAGGTTAAAATCCCCTGATTGAGAGACTATTAAAAAAATAAAATAAAATAATTATATATGTGTTTTTTATGTTCTTTTGTAATTTCAATACACTTTCACATTCAACATATTAAAACGCACCTTGGGGAGTTATCTATCTAGCCTATTCACTCTCTTACTGACAAGAAATGGGACACCATCGTTAGCTCCCTTCTTATGTGTGCGCAGCTTCCATGTTCATCTGTACAACGTTGAGAGCCTGCTGGCTTGCGCGCTGCCTTATCACCACACCAACACGTTTGTCCGAGTGGTTCAGCTCCTCAAGATCAAGGACGCCACACACCGCTGGAATTGGTTGCAGGCCCTGCAGGTTAGACGTGATGATGTCTCCCAAACGAAAGCTCACGATTCAGCTAGTCGGCAGGTTGCTAAATGTTTAATTTGTCCGTGTTTGGTTGTTTAGAAACCAGGCGTGCCACTGGCCAAAGGGACTCTGGTCACCCACTGCTTCTCGGACCTGGGCTTCATGGACTTCATCTGCAACATTGCCACAACGTCCATTCAGGTAGCCACATGTTACACATGTTGGGATGCAAACGTCTCAAATAAATTTAAGGGGAATGGGTCAGGATGGGAAGTATTCGCAATGAAAGGATTATAATGGAAAAGTATCCTTATCAAGCACAAATACTGTGTCATCATTTTGTTTTGTCATACATAGATGTGCAACTAATGATTATCTCAATAAATCTGTCGTATTATTTTTCAGTTAATGATTCGGGCTAAAAAAAAAAATCCCCTTTTTTGTCAATATTGGGACATTATTTCAAATTGGAAGTGCAGAAAATGCACAAATACAAATGGCATTCATCATTATTTTGTTGATTTCTTTCAGGCTTTTTCCGGACATTCCCAAAGTTTCTCCCAGCTGCGAGTGGTCTTCTCTTTCTACGCCTCCACCATCGTGTCAGCTCTGGACGCCGTTGACAAAGTGTCAGACACCATCATTTCCAAACTGCTCCCCTATGTGCAGGAGGTACAAATCGATTAACATTGATTACTTTTATAATGTGAAGCGTGATATTGGATATGATGACATTCTGTCCCGTTGCCGCCTTTCAGGGTCTGAAGTCAAATCTGGCTGACTACAAGGCGGCCACCTACATGATCGTGTGCCAAATGGCGGTAAAAGTGGTGATGGAGGCCAGTCTGATCAACACGCTGGCGCTGCGCATCAGCAAGTCCATGCTCAAAGAGCCCGTGTTGACCAAAGAAGGGCTGGGCTGCCTCATCGTGCTGCTGCAGAGCCAGAAAGATGGCGCGGCCGGGTCCAGGTAGGACGGAGCAACGTGAACCAGGGAGCATTAATGACCTTGATGTAACAGATTCTTGTCATTGTCATGAATGAGTTAAGTCCAGAGTGCGAGTACTTGTGTATGTGCTCAGATTCTGCAGCCACGTGTGTTCCATGCCTGCGTTGGCATCCACGCTTCAGCTCATGGCCGCCACCCACGACGTGAGCCCTCTGCTGCGCTACCTGCTGCCTCACCTGGTCCACGCCGCCTTTGGCAGCTCAGGTGAAAACGGAACCCAAGCAAAGCCTTGAAAATCAAAGGTTGGCGCTTTGAACATTCCTGTGCTCTTTTTGTGTTTTCGATAGATGACACCCACGTGTTGGAGTCGCTCCTGGAGTCTGTCCCCCTGACCAAAGGCCTGGATGAACACATGGCTCGGTAAACATCTTTTTGGTCTAAGGGTAGCCAGTCAGAATTATGTGTACATGTTCAGCTTCACATTCAATAGAATTATGGATCTGTTTGCTGCGCAGTTGGCTGCTAGATGATTACCTGAGTCAGACGGCGCTCACCGAGGACAACATCGACACCCTCAACCAGCGTCTACAGCCGCTAGTGCGACTTTTCGAGTCCAAGTGAGTGCACGTGGTACCTGACGCGTCCACAATGTGACTTCGGATTCCTCCCACATCCCCAAAAGAAGCTCAAGGCGCTCAAGGTTGCCGTTGTTGCGCCTCAGATACTTCAAGGCTCTGGACGGCGTCCTCTCCGGTCACGTGAAAGACGTCAGCAACTTGGAGCAGAAACGCCTCTTCCATCATTTCCTCTCTCTGTCCATGAGCAGCGGAAAATTCCAGGTGTGGTGACTATGGTGACAAGACGGACTAAATTAAAAGCGTTAACTAACATTTCGTGCTTCATGATATTGGGAAAATGGATGATGACTCTAGCGATATCAATAACATTGCGATATTTGACACGTACCTAAAGACATGTAATTTTTATTATCGAATGAAGAAGTACTTAAAAATGTTTTTATTTATTTGTGGGAATCAGATTGTGGGCGACTCGGACACGTCGCTGCTGCTCAGCCTGAAGCACCCGCAGCCGTCGCTACGAGTCTCGGCTCTGGAGCACCTGAGGAGCCTCGTTGCATCCGGGCAGGTGTGGCCGGAGACCTTGCGGCTTTTTCACATTTTTCTGATGCTGCCTGGCTACGTTCTGACTTTTGTTTCCTACCCGCAGCTTCAGAGTTTGGACCAGGACTTCCTGAAAGACGCCGTCTTGGAGCGCTTGAAGGATGACATGCTGGAGGTCGTCAGTGGGGCTCTTCAAACCTTGGAGGTCAGGGAGATTTCTGAGAGTAGTTTCATTACCAGCATAAAACAATGGGATATAACTTTATTTTTATTTATTTATTTTTATTTATTTATCTTTATTTATTTATTTGTTTGTTTGTTTGTTTGTTCATTCATTCATTGATTGCACCTTGGACCAGTTTTCACTTCAAGAAATAATTTTAAGGACCGGAATGAAAATACATAAAGATTAAAAAAGTACAACCCACCAACTGAATGAAAAACTGTAATTGAAGCTCTCCACTTGTTTCTCTTCAATGAGCTGGTCCCATCTCGGACGTCATCTTTTTTCTTTCCAAAAACTCCAAAGCTTTATCTTTCTGCTGAGTGCTTGATCTCCAGGTGGCAAAGCACTTTTAAAGGCTATATAGGCTTCAATTCCCCCCCCCCCCACACACACACACACACACACACACACACGACCAGATGAACGCTTTGACTCTAATGATCAATAAAATATCTTTTGTTCGGCCTTTCGGTACGGCCTGCAGCATGATTGTTTTGGAGACCAGCACCAAAGGAAGAGGAAGAAATTAGGCATGATCAATTATATCAGGATTTATTTCGTCAAATAAAATTTGATTTTGTGAGGGAATTAATTATGATATAAGTGTATCAAGTTTTGTTGTTGTTTTCCAGATGTTATTTGACGTTTTGGACGCCGAGGCTGTCGTGTCCAATTTGCTGTCCCTCCTCCAAAGAATCGATCAACCCGAGGCTGACAGCTGGTCAGAACTTGCTCTTTTTTTTTATTAGTTTGTATTTTTCCAACTTTAAAAACTGTATCGAAATTAACTGAAAACTAACCGCCTCCCTTTTGTTTCCTGTGGCGATGGATTTATTTATTTTCTCCACCAGGCTGCCAGTTTTAACAGAAGCGATGCGTTTACTGACTGATTCCCGGCTCGGAAAGGGGAGTGCCGAGCAGGTGGAGAAGATTTTCTGGGGCCTGCTGCCCTTCCTGGTGGTCACTACCGCTCGTCCAGGCTCCGCTCAGCTCCGCCTCGCCCGCTGCGTCGCCCGCTGCGACATCCTCGCCCGGCATCCGCTCACCATCACCTGGGCGGAAGGTTGCAGCCAGAACCTCCCCGAGGTTTTCCTGATCTCCGCTTTGTAGCTGAAACTGTTTCTTCTGCCC